CTTCGCTCTGGATTCCCGTCAAGACAAAAAAAAATATGTGGCACATAATAGAAAACAAGATACTTCGGCAGGTATTAAGTGAATCTAGTTAGGGTTCAACTTGGGACAAAAAAAAAATCAGCTCTCCAGAAGAAAAATAGAGCTCAGTACAAATAGGCTTTTCACACAAAGTTTGAACAGGTTGAAGGACTATTTGTTGCTAGTTGTATGAGAAATTTTAAAGTAAAGAATTTTGATTCATCTGCTAAACTAAGTTTATTCAGCTCAAATGTTAGTAAGAGTAAAGGAACCGGATAGTCCTCCTAGGATTCTTACAGGATATAAATAAAATGAGATAGTTGTTCTGGAAAGCAATTTGGCAACATGCAAAGGGCTTTTATGATCATACTCTGTCAGCTAATTCAGCTTTGAGAATTTAGCATAACAAAATAGCTATATAGGGTCCCCCCAATAGTAAATTACCAGTAGATTGGAAGCCACCTAAGTGGGCCCTAATAGAAGATTTTGTGATGTAAGCGTGGAATAATAGAGTAACTTTTAGTAATTTTTTGAAGACTAGACATGCATGAAAATGCTTATGGAGTAGTAAGTAGACAGTAGTACCTCTTGTATGCTTTTAACTGTGTATAATGTATGTAAGTGTATAAATGGAGGTTAAAGGAAAATGAAACACTTTTAACTGGCTGGTATTTTATGAGTGCTGACAACTTGAAATTTATTCTTCCAGATTTTTTTTATTTGGGGGAAGGTCTAAAAATCATTTTGATTTTTCATTTAATAATTTAAAGGTTTTTTTTAAATATAACATTATTGACCATTGATTAATGTAGTTAATTTATTACAATGTCTACTCAACCCCTTAGCAGGAATGAGTGAATCAGACATTTTCTCTCTGGGTTCTTACAGGATATAAAGAAAATGACGTAATGGTTCTAGAAAGCAGCATGGCAGCATGCAGAAAGCTTTAATGAAAATACTCTTATCTGCTAATTCATCTTTGAGAATTTAACATAATAAAATAGCCGTATACACACAAGCCATACATACCTATGCTATGTATATATCCATAAGCTCTGGTGGCTTAGTGGTAAGGAATTGTACTGCCAATGCAAAGGTACACAGTTCAAATGCAGCAACTGCTCTGCTGGAGAAAGATGGGCATACTCCTTCCGTTTAATTTATTGCTTCTGAAAGCCCGTCAAGAGGGTCAACTATGGTTCTCACTTTAGGTACACAACCACAGGCAGTCCTTTACTATGTGTTGCCTTTCCCTTAACCTAACCTATCTATTATTCCACCAGATTTTTGAAATTGAGCTTATATTCTTACGCTTAGAGAGAAAAAAACCCTAAACAGTAAATTTCTTTTGTTCTTCATCTTGAGAAATAGCTGTTAGGTTTGTACTGCTGGCCTTTTGGTTAACATTTCAACATTTGACCTACCATACCATCAAGGGTTACTTATAATTTAGTAAGAAAAAAATTCATTCTCGGATCTTAATCAAGCAGTGGACAGAGTGACACATCTATGAAATCAGCCACTCAAATAGTGAACTAGAACCAGGTGAGAGTTTAGAAACAAACAAACAAAAAACCAACCAAACACCCCCCCGCCCCCAAAAAAAAACCAAAAAACAAAACACAAAAACCAAGGTAGTAGAATTAGGATCTATATTTTTTCCTCCGGAATTTTTTTTTTTCAATCAGCATTTTTCAAAGGCTATGATAACACATGCTGATCTGATATACTTGTAAAGCTAATTTTAATAGCTTCTCAGTTTGCCCTCCAGAATTTAGGATATAATATTTTATTTCCTTTTGAATATATTTGGTATAAGTTTTGGGCTAAGCCCTTGTGGTATATAATTTTAAAGGGACTGTTTACTGTTTTCTGTCCTAGTGTAGAATGATACCCTTATCACTTTGAATAAAATTTTACAAGAGGGGTGGATAAGTTCAGTGAAAAAGAGACATCTACTGGCTGGACATGATTGTGTATTTGTGTTGACTGAGAGACCCTTTAAGCTTTATCATTTAAAACAAAAACTCTGTGTGGTGTCTTGTCAAAAGCATTAATGCTCTGGCCCAAACTCATGTTTCGTGTAAGATGTGGTAGTCAGTTCTGTTTAAACAAAATTTTCCTGGAGGTGGAGAACCATTGGCAAAGTATGTGGATCATTTCCTAATTTTTTTTTGTTTGTTTCTTGCTTTCAGATGGAAAGAACTCAAATGGATCCAAGCGCTATAATCGTAAACGTGAACCTTCCTACCCCAAAAATGAAAGTTTTAGCAACCAGCCCCGTCGCTCCAATTCACAGAAAAGCAAAACTTTTAATAAGATGCCTCCTCAAAGGGGCGGCGGCAGCAGCAAACTCTTTAGCTCTTCTCTTAATGGTGGAAGACGAGATGAGGTATGGCATTTGAGACTCTCCTTTCTAAAACATAAGCATGTGCTCAAACTCTCGTTTTCTCTCCTCTGTTCGTCAGTACGTGAGAGGGGAGCAAGAGGTGAAAGTTGATTGTCAAAGGCGTCTTTAATTCTTTAGTTGAGGATTAACTAGGTTTGGAACTTTGTCCCCCCTCCACTCCCGAGAAGGTCATAATTTTATATTGGAGGAAGGAAAAGACATAATGATGAATTTTAGCTTGTAACTCTTGAGTTACAAATGCCTTTTGAAATATTTAGGTAATAAAATGGCATTAATTAAGAAATGGCATGTACTTTCTAGTATCTAGTAAAATGTACAGTGCTCAAGAGTCCAGAATTAAGGTTGCATAGTGGAGTGTACTCGGGGTGGTGGGGGTATTATATACCAAAGAAGGAATTTTTCTTTTGCTTTTCAAAGAGAGGAGCAAACTGGGGCGGGGTAGGAAAAAAAAGGGCAACAGTGAATGAGTGGAAATACAAAATCTCTGTAAATGTTCATTAAAATTAATAAAAAAAATGTACAGTGCTCAGATTATTAGTTCTGACTTGTTCTGTAAATTTATAGAGACTAATCTGCAGGGGTAGTCCTAGTAGTGGTGTGTATAGTTCTGAAATTTAGGAAACAACCTAAATGCCTGTCCAGGCACTGGTTAAGGAAATTGTCCTGTTGTTTGGATGTTTGCATGCACTGTCCTGTGTAACCACTGCAGAGTAAGACATGTTTAATATGGTACATTCATGGACTAATTCATCATTCTCCCAAAATGTACTCCTGGCCTGCTATGGTCATTTAGGAAACTGGAATCAACATGGCTTACTTCCTTTAGGGAATTTACATTATAGTTTAGGGAGACAATAAACTATTACGTAAATCAGTTGGTCTGTACTTACTGAATAAAGATGAGTAGGTTAAGTAAAGGGAAGAGAGTGACAGAAGGTGTTCAGTTTCAGAAGATGACTAAGGAAAGCTGCCCTATAGGGGTGCGGTTGTGAGTAGAGACCTGAATGAAGTGGGGAGCATACAGTATGGATCTGAGGAAGAGTCTCTTAGTCAGAAGGAATAAGTCTGTGTAAAAGGTTGAATGAAGGTGAGGTAAAACAGGGCCGATTATGTGGGGCTTTAGAAGGATGTGGGTTTGTCAGAGGGAGGGAAGCCACTGGATTTAAGAGAAATAAAGACTCGGATTTTCTTTTTTTTTATTTAAATTTAGGGAAACACATGAAAAAGGTCTATTAAGGTACTGCAGAGGAGGCATGGTTGGTGAAAGATAGATGGGCCATGCAGAAGAAATTAAAGAGAAAGGTGAAGAAAGGGAGAGAAACATTCCTGGAAGGTCAGGGTGGACCCAAACCTTTTGGCATGCAGTTGCTAGTAGGATAAAGCCCGACTTGGATCTTCAGAGCATCCCTCTAGCTACTAAGGATCAAGTGGAGACAGGGAGACTAGGGAACTATGGAAATATTTCTGGTGAAAATAATGGAAGCTATGAAACAGGGTAGTAATTATGGTGGAAATACTGAGATGTGGTCGGGTTTGAGATTCTTGAAGGAAGAGCCAACAGGATTTTTAAGTACCTGAACAGAGAAATGGATGAGTAATGTTTTTGGCATGAGTCCAATTCAAGTACCATTAGCTGATAAGGAGATTTCGAGAGCTAAGAGGATTTTTGAAAGGAAGGAGTAGGTGTTGAGATGAGATGAAGAAGTTAACTTTGGAAATGTTAAACTGACAATGCTATTAGCCATCCAAGTAGAGGAAGGCAGTTACATAAGAATTCAAGGGGGAAATGAGGCTTGAGCACTGTCAGCATGCAGTTTCAAACTGTAGAAGGAGTGTAGCTTAAAGGATTCTCTCTGTTCAGGTGATGAGGAACCAGCAGGAGAGATAGGGTGGGAATGGTCAGTGAGGGAAAAAGAATGATTGTGGGCTTCTGCACGCCAGTTACAGGGAGGGAGCTGCTTTGTCAAGAGCAGTTGATAGGCCAAGCTTAAGAATGAAAATTAACCATGAGACTTTTTTTTAATTAATTTTAAT